TCACAGAATACTCATTATATGCCGAAACTTTTACATGCATAGTCTATGTTATCACCTTCGTAATGTGTAGTAACATAATGTATGTGTGGTATCATGCAAAGCTTTATTTATTTAGATGTAGATTCATTTTATCTTTGAATGTATTATGTTACTATAAACATCTCTTTTTTTGTTAACTGCTTGTCACATAAGCAAATTCGCCTTGGGGTGTGTTAAAACTTCTAAAACTGTTTTGTCAGGAGTGGATGGCGAAAGCCTCCTTGGTACGACTTAAACCTCACCAACAACGCGAAAATTGATTAATCTATGTTTCGTTGTTTGGGAAATAGTGGAGCCTGAGTTGATTTTCGTCGTATGCGAAAAAAGGGTCGCAAATTAACCATTGCCCACATATCTATCATCTGACTTCACCGTCGGTTTCTCAAAGTCTAAACCCAAAGGCGCGTGCGGGGCAGCTGTATTTATACGTCACAAGAAGACCATCGAATGGACTTCCTTTTCTAATAGTCTTGTTTTCTTTTCGTCACAATAATGGAAGAGAATACTCTCTTGAACTCGGGATCAAACGATGCACATGGTCAATAACCAAACAAAAACTTTCAAACTTGCAGCTGCGTCAGCATCAGCAAGTGAAAATGCTCATCATGAAGACGAAGCCATCCAAAATCTCCCGTTAAGCCACTTTAAGCCACTTCATTTACGACACCTATTAAATATTGATTGTCTATGCAAACACTAAGCCCTCCCTTCCGGTTTACAGGCTCCATTCAAAATCTCACAACCAAGACAGACTGCAAATGGTGGAATAATTTTATTACTATATGCAAAAATCCTCTCTTTATTTTGTTTTCACGAGAAAAAGGCCTTATATGAAGAAAGAACAGATTAATTGGGAGGCGCGGCAGTCAATACAGAGTAGAAGACAACGTTTGGAACGCTTGTACCAGATGCCAACGGCGCCATGACGTCCAACCCTACCACTTTCATAAAAGGGCAGCACCAGACTCGCGAAGGAGCATCGCCTAGGGTTGGTATTCTCTCAGGTCCTATCTAGCACTGATACAATACTACGTACACCGAACATTTGTTTTATCTAGAAACGAGAAATAAAACTACGTTGAGGGTATAAAAGGATAGGTTTGCTTATTAATAAAATACAAATACAATATAATAAAAGTTAGGCGACCCCTAAATAAAAATACAATATAATACAAGTAGCAAGTGTGGAATAGTGGTATGGTGTGCAAAATTGTCCCTAGGCTTCATTTCTCGTAAACCCGTGTTACCGTTTACATTTCTCTCGAGTTTTTTTACTTTAAATTAATGGTTCACATTGGTAGACATTGAGTAGCCATTTTTTCGTGAAAAGTTTTTTTTATCATGGCGAATTGTGTAGAACATGATATTCAGTACAATATGCAATTAGTGTGTAGTGTGTAGTGCGAGATTTATATTCAACAATTTGTCATGGCCATTTGTCCTCCTGCAAGTAGTTTGTAGTGCAATTTTGTAAACTTGCCATGTGACCAGTACATACAAACTCTAGCTTTGCCATGAGTCATGAATAATTTTCTTTATAGATTTTGCCATAAATCAAAAGTATATACTGCTGAGCACTATTTTGCCATAGCAGAAAAGACTTCATAGCTTTTGTCATGCCTCTAATATAGTTTGTGCCTTGTCACCACTACAACTTTTGCCGTGTCATGTACATATTTTTTAGAGGTAATATCACCAGAAGTCATAGAACTTGCGTCGTATGTTTAGTTTTGTGCTAGAACTTTGAAAATATGATTTTGTGGTCGCCTAACTTGACTCAGGCGTGCAGATACGGTCATAGTACCCGTATGCGAGTGTATCTATGTGTATGGACCCACTTGTCGGTGAGTGATGGAGCTGGGCATGACATATTTTTACAAAAAAAAGCCCTCATATTTTTTTATTTGCGGAAAAGTCAACTACTACAACACATTTTATATGAAAAACTAAGGAGAAAAAAGAAAACAAGGAACCCTCGGGCTCGAACACACGACCTTCTCTTTTAACACAAAACGCTTTAGCCTTTTCACCACCAGTTAATTCTGTCTAATTTCCATAACGAGCTCCTATGTACTCAAAAGTGGCGCATGTGAAGCTTAATTGTATTGCATATATTTCTGCCCATTTTGGACGCGGTACTTTTTTAAAGATATTTGTAAAACATGTGTGTTATATAAATGTGTTTGTTACATATTTTTCTCCTGTTTTTATATAAATGGCTTTACCCCTAAAAACCATTTACTAAATATGTTATAAACCTTGACTATTATATAAACTAGTGTGTTATATAAATTGGTGTATCACATATTTTGTTTTCATAATTATAATTCAAAAATTATGTAAATTATAAAAACATTTCAATAATTATACGCACATTTGTGTAATTTGATTTTCGCATGATTAAAAATATTCATAATTTTAAATTTAAACTATTAATATGGACATTGAATCGTTGCTAATATTTAACTTATATAATTGTTTCTGAATATAAGTCATGAGTAAAAATTATAAACAAGTGAATATTCATAAATATTTAGTAAATGGTTGTATTCATCATTTTGTATAGTTTAAATATAAGCCACAAGTTTGTAATTTTTGGATTCATTAAACATATTTATTTAGTAAACATTTTCAATGTCCATGTTAACTAAATATATTTTATATAATACACATGTTTATATTTAAATGTTTTTATTTACTAATCATGGTTTGTTTGTATAGTATTTTAACACACAAATATTTGAACTTAATTTTAATACTCATGGTTTCAAATATCTTAAATGTACTTATTACTTACGTTTTACCAAATATTTCATATATGATACACATGCTTATATTTACTAATCATCATATGTATGTATAATATATTTAACACGTAAATATTTGAACATAACTTTATTACTTTTTTTACAGATACCTTAAAAAATAGCGCGTGCAAATGGGCCGCAGTATATGCAGGCCATTTAAGCTCCGCATGTGTTGTCTTCAATTCAAAAAAAGTTAACTTCCTCGAAATCAATATATAAGTTAGTTATCGGTTTTAGACATATTAACCTGGAGGTTGTAGTGGCTAGACCGTACCGTGTTAAAACTGTTGTTTGCAAGTTTGAGTCCCAGCGACCTTGTTTTTTTTTGTCAATTTACGCCAAATATGTGTCGCGGTGGTTGACTTTTTTCGCGTACCGTGACCGTATCTGAATGCTTGAGTCAAGTTAGGTGACCACAGAACTGTATTTTTAAAGTTCTAGCACCAAACTGAAGATGCGATGCAAGTTCTGTGACTCATGGTGATATTACCTTTTTTACCATGGCAATTTTTGGTAATCTATTTCTCATGCCAAAAAAGATTTTATAGCTTTTGCCATGCCTCTAATATAGCTTTTGCCATGTCTAAAACTTTTTGCCTTGCCATAAACACATTATTTACCATGAAATTGCTAAGCTGTTTGCCATGGCAAAAAAAATTAGCACTGTTTTGCCATTGCAAAAAATTTAGCACTGTTTTTGCCATGGCAAAAAAATATTTCATAGCTTTTTTCCATGCCTATAATACTGCTTTTGCCATGTCACCACCACAACTTTTACCATGCCATACACATATTTTTTTACCATGGCAGATTTGCTAATCTATTTGCCCTGCCAAAAAAGATTTTATAGTTTTTCTCATGCATCTAATATAGCTTTTGCCATGTCACCACTACAACTTGTTGCCATGCCAAAAAAGTTTTAGCACTGTTTTGTCTTGTAAGAACAAATCCCTAAAATTTGCCACTTTTTCATAATCTACCATGGCAAATGTACTCTATAGACCATGGCAAATTTATCCCATACATAATGGGAAATTTAGATCACACACCATGGTAAATATAGTTTTTTAACGGATTGTGGTAATCTATCACATTTTTGGAACCATGGCAATTTTGAATTTTATGGGCATGGCAAATTTTGTTTGGTCCATAAGCAATTTCATGTTTGTTTTGCCACGGGTATTTTGTGTATGTTGAGTATGAAAATGCTATAGCACATGCAATAGATTTTTCCATACTACATGGCAAAAAAATCCTAGACCATGGTAAACTTAGTAAACAGAACATGGCAAATATGTTGCAATTTTACCATGGCATTTTTTCTGATCATGGTAAATTTTCTTGTTCTTTTTCATTACAAAAACCATGTGTTTCTTGTCATGGATATTCTTGTGATCAGTACAAAAATGCCATAGCACATGCAATATATTTGCCATTGATATAAACTAAGTTTTGCCATGTATTTTTTCTAACTTTTTTGCAACACAAATTAAATTTTACTGTAAACTTTGAATAGCATACTGCCATGTGCTAAAAAAATAGCTACTTTTGGGGGAAAATAATTTTCAAAGATCAAAAGCTAAAAAGTAGGAAAAAAGTTGACAAAGTCATGTTGCATGTATCTATTGATATGATGGCAAAAAAGTATGCAGCATTTAGTTTGCCAGGACAAAACACTTTCGTAAACAATTCCATGGCAAGCACTTTTGCCTTGCCATTTTGCCATGTCTTTTTTGTAATATGTTTTTCCTATATTTTTTAGTAGAAAATATATGTTTTTCTCTATCGCAGAGGCCTTTTTTATTTTTGGGCCGACTGGTTCGTGTCTGTTGGGCCAGTAGAAATAGATCGCATGAAGAAATCGTTCGTTATGAACTCCTTCCTTGCGCCAATGATGTCGTTCGATTTGATCGATATCTCCCGCAAACGTTTCCTTTCCCTAGTTTTCGTAAAAAAAAAAAAAACTTTTTCAGTGGGTCCGCTGTTAGATATTTTCGCTCTTTCAGTTTTTTTTCTTCTTTCAGACGGGCACTCTTGTGTGGTTGACCGGCGCTGTCGCCGCCGTCCACAAATGACACGGCACCATTTGCCGTGTGCCGTGACACGACTTGCTTTCTTTCTCTGGCGGTGGCGGCCTCTCACCCCGTCTCCGGCATGGACGTCCTGGCGCCGCTGTCCCGCGCGCATATCGGCTCGCCGGCCGCGGCGGCCGCCTCCGCTCGCCCATACGTTCTTCATCGTTTCAACCGGAGGACCATCCGCCGGCGAGGCGCCGGCCTGCGCTGCCGCCGGCGCCTGCTCAGCGCGCGGGGAGAGCGCCCGGCTCCGGATGACGATGAGGACGACGGGGAGGTGGCTGGGTTCGACGCAGCGGTGGCGCTATTCAACGGCGGGGAGTACCACGCGTGCCACGACGTGGTAGAGGAGCTCTGGTACAGCGCCGAGGACCCCGGCCGGACGCTCCTCCACGGCGTCCTCCAGTGCGCCGTAGGCTTCCACCACCTCTTCAACCAGAACCACCGCGGCGCCATGATGGAGCTCGGGGAAGGCCTCTGCAAGCTCCGCCGCCTGCGCCTGGAGGACGACGGCGACCAAGGGCCCTTCTCTCGATTCCGGGACGAGGTCGCCGCCGTGCTCAGCTTCCTCTACCGCACCCAGAAGGAGCTCGCGGCATGTACGTCATCCTCATCCACCACGATCGAGTTTACTTAATTGATTTGAACCTGCCAATTCCGATGAAGCTATGGCGCATCGATCAGGTAACGACGAGCTGTGCTTGGCCATGGATGGCTCCGCGACCTCGTACCAGCTGCTCGGCGACTTCGCTGCCGGGCAGCGGCTGTACCGGCAGGGAGTCGACGCGGACGGCGTCCCGAGCATCCTCTTCTCCGGCCGCTCATCCGGCGACTACCTCGCTCCTCCATGCACGGTGAAACTTCCATCGCTACACGCCACGGAGCAGCACCTCGCGGCGCTCCAGCGCGCGCACGAGTACTCGTAGCTAGTAGTTCCATTTTTGTTGTATACTCGTAGCTAGGTAGCCAGCCAGATGCAACAAATTCGATGAAACTTTGTAAACAAAAAAATTCCAGGGCAATCTGATACTACTCGTTTATTTTCTGAATGGAGTAGATCAAGCCACGCCACGTAATCCACGTGAAACGTTGATCTGTGCCAAACTTCACTTTCGCATTCGAAAATATGGTACTCCGTCCGGTCTATAATGTTGACATGTTTGACTTTAAAAAAAAACACTACATTTTTGAATGAAAAGAGTATTTTAAATATGACTAGGAAAATGGCCCGTGCGTTGCAACGGGAATACAATCGTCCCTTGATTGATACCTTTTTTTTTTGCCTTACCAGGGATCCATTCTAGCCCCACAATGAAGCCTGACTGTTCCCGGAAAAAAAAATGAAGCCTGACTGTCACCACGATGATAGGGCATGACAGTCTGTCTCGAGAAGGTCCTCGGAATCGGATAGACCTAACGCGACCATGGCCTCCTACTACACATCTGCCCAACATCCTTGCCAAGGCCCAGATGACGGGCATCCTCCCTTGTTGTGTTAGTCGAGGCCGGCGGCCGGCCAATGGCACCGTCATTGCGTGTGCGTTGCTATAGAAAAAAAATGTGTCTAAAGTTTTTATCTTGCGGACTATATCTAAAGGGGAGATTCAAAAGAGAACGATGTGGCTCACGTACCCAGGTCATTGTATCTGAAGTTTCTATTTATTCGGGATGGCGCAGGAACACATTCACTAACGAAAGTATAATCTAATTAGTAGCAAGGCACTCGGTATCATCAGTTTGCGTTTTTCTCCAAGTAGTATAGAAACACATCCCATAACCATAATATAATACAGGACGGAGGGAGTATGTTGTACTCCCTCCATTCCTAAATATAAGTCTTTGTAGAGATTTCACTATGGAACACATACGGATGTATCTAGATGCATTTTAGCGTATAGATTCACTCATTTTGCTCCGTATGTGGTCTATAGTGGAATCTCTCCAAAGACTTATATTTAGGAACGGAGGGAGTAATCAATAGCAAGCAATTAGTTTGGTTACTATCAATTCTCTATGTTGTTCTTACCTTATACAACATGACCTTTTTTCAGAAAATGATACTTGGGAAATCTCATAAAGCTTCTAGATTGCAGCCATTGAACCGATCAACCGAAGGGCTTATGTAAGTTATTACTGTAAAATAAGTCTCAGTCCTGAGAAGAATTCACTTTGAACACATTTCTCTCAGACGGATAGAACAATCCTTGACAACCTATGCCAGTAAGGAAAAAATACTGTATTGAAAAGACCACTCATGCTCCTTCCTCTCACATTAACTTCAGGCCTCTAACAATCACCGACCTTTGACTAATCATTCTGAAGTAATACAACTTTAACTTAAAACATGAAGAGCAATGGTGTTGTCGCTGCTGAACATGACATCTCCCACTGTTTTGTGTTTTTCCAGTCTACTTGTGCCCACTTCTTTCTCTAAATAGAAATTTGTCAGTGTGGCTCTCTGTATGTCTAATAGAATGCAGCCAATAACTACACGTGTCGGTAATTAATCATGATGTTACCTAAAAAAAGTAGTTAGTCCATTAAATCTCCACCGTGTGTGTCAAATTGCTGAACATGAAGCCTGTCCATCTGTACCTACAAAATAGCTAGAACATCGGTCAGTGAAATTTAAGGAAGATGGTGACGAGCTTCCTAGACTTGAGCTGCTGGGAGATCCCACAGCTAGAGCTCAACGACTCCAGCAAGTCACTATTCCGGAATGTGATTGCGTTCGAGCGGACGTACACGTACCTGAATACTATCTTTTATGATTCTGAATCTTCACAGGAGAGGATTAATGACATACAAACAATTTGCCTTAATTCTTGAAGACAATGTTAATCGGATTCTCATGTTGAGGAACCATCTTCAGGTACATTTTCTTCACAATCTGCTTGATACGCCTATATTGATAAAGTGTGACCATCAGCTACATTCATCTCAACATAACTGAGAAGAGAAATATTTTTATGACGGAGAAGAAAATAATGATTGATAGAAACCTATCCAACCATGAATAGCTCAGATTAGCTATTTATAATTTATATATACTACAGTCAAAAATCATAATTTGATCAAAACATAACTTCATCCAAGATTATGTCGCAATGGATTGCTATAAGTCCACCAACGAATTTCGGATTTAGGACCAAACTTTCTGCCAGAAGTCAGCCACAATACTGTGCACCAATTTATGCCAACAATGTGTGTGTGTGTGTGTGTGTGTGTATACAACATTGATAGATTAATCTTAAGAAATAATCTACTGCTAGGTGTATGTAGTTTATACCCAGAAAGATATGAAACCTACAGGACACAGCAAATGCTGAAGAAAATGAAGAGCGATGAAATTCTAACAATTTGCAAACATCCGCAATAGGTCCTTAGTCAACATGAACTTAGTAATTCTACAATTACAAAAATGCAGGATAGTCTGCTGCAGCCAGAATAGTAAAAGGAACTTGGATTATTCATGTAATGAATCTTCTAGAAATTGGCTGCAAGAGACACAATCACCAAACAACAGTTTAACAAGAATTATTTCTGTGCAAGTCTAAAGATATATTTAATGGCTCTTACACAGTTAACTTGGTCTTCTAGAAATTGGCTGCAAGAGACACAATCACCAAACAACAGTTTAACAAGAATTACTTCTGTGCAAGTCTAAAGATATATTTAATGGCTCTTACACAGTTAACTTGGTTGCACAGATAATTACATAGTAGACTATATATGTTGAAGAAACCATGAGCATCGAGATGGCATATAAATTCTTGTGTTATGGCATCGCTGGTCATCAGTGCTCATTAGGCTCTATACTTATCAAGTCAATGCACAGGAAGAAAAATCAAAAGCATAGCCATGCATTCGCACCATATTTCTAGACCAGATGAAAAGAGGAAAGCATGCTTGTTACCTACATGAAATCTGATTTTGGCGGCACAGATGCGCATAGAGTGGTGGCCAATGTTGCTACAGCCGGGGATCAGGGAACTCACCCACCTCTGACTCTCGCATGGCAGCATGCGAAATTACCCTTTTCTTTCAACTAATCTCATCTGAAAACTTCTAAGGTTCCATGAACCTCCTCATCTCCCTGCTTGAGGCCTTCTCCTCTCAGATCCAGACGAAACGCCAAGCGGAACAGACGGCCACCAGAGGAAACACAGTATCGCACGGATAGACAGGTCCATGTGGAGCTTGATCTAGAGCTTGACAGCGGTAGGGAATTGGAGTCCGGCAGGCAGCCTTGGTACGGTGATCTGCTCGACCAGGACGACACCGTCCGGCCGCACGGGCACACCTCCGTCCAGCCTTGGTAACTGTCCAACGTAGCGCACTGCTGCTCACCGAAGAGATGAGCCTGGAACCACCATGAACCTCCTCGTGTCCCCATTTGCCTCTTCACCAGTCCAGGGGCTACCTCCTCCAATGCTCAAGATTTAGTTTATTAAGTACCAAAATCAAAAGATTGATCCTGCACGGATGAAGGCTTCAGAAGACCAACATGGTAGCGAGCATATTAGAACTGAATATAAAATTACAGCATGCACATGTTGCATTGATATGCATAATTAGAATTTTACAGGGCCAGAAAAATGACACTGTAGTTCACTGATGCGGTTAGAGGTTTGTGCATCCAACCATCCAAGTATAAATGTAGATCCTACCTCTAATATCAGTTTCACTCAGTCAGGAAAGTGTGCTGAATGTTATTCTTACCTCTCTAAATGAACAAGAAGTCCTTCTGTTCCTTGAAAGAGATCATCAATGGATGAGATAGATAAGCATATAAGGCCTCATGATTGCTCTTGCCTAAATGAGGCATAATATTAGAAAAATATATAACACCTCATTTGGCATCAGAGATTTATAAAGTACTTGATCAAGTAAGATCATAGAAAGCAACAGTTGAGCATGTACCTTGTCACGGATCTTCATACTCATAGGTGGATTGTGTGATATGAAGATTGTATGGTAGTTCCTGGTTGTTGATATATAATCTGCACTCCGATCAAGCATTGGAATGAACAGTTTTGAGCATAATCAAAGCACGTCATACAACTGTATGCCATTAGAACTCAGTTCCAAATTCATACAACTGAAAAAGAAGATAGATACTACTTTATATATCGTTTTTGTCAAGCCAATATTGCCATGGTCATGAAGCACTGGATTCTACTCCCTCCGTTCAGAATTACTTGTCACAGAAATGGATGTATCTAGATGTATTTTAGTTCTAGATACATCCATATCCGAGACAAGTAATTCCGAACGGAGGGAGTAGATAAGTGTAAATTTAGAGAGTGAGGCGATGCCCCCGTCTGCCTTCCGGAGCTCCCTGCCTTCGATCTCGTGCACGCCTCCCAGGACCGCGTTGGTATCGACCTCGCACCTCAATCTGGATGTCCTCCTCCATCTCAAGCACCTCTTCCCCGTGGATCCGGTTGTGGCCAATGTACAGACTAATTCCCAAACAAAACATTCATTAAGTAAGCATTGTCTCTTTTTCATCTATAGTTCAATTTTCAACCCGATAGAGTTTTGGAGCCCCCAAACCGAGCAGACATACAGAATGAAGGAAATAAGCAAGTGAAGGAAGCAGACCTTGCCGTGCGGGTGGGCGGGGAGCCGCGTAAGGTGCCCCACGGCGCCAGCAGCAAGCACGGCCCACGCGCCATCCTCTATGCCGCAAGCAAAGCTCCCCGCCGCGGCCGCCGCATGGACGAGCGCGGCCGCTGACGCGCCGGGCTTGGCTAGCACCGCGACGACCACCGGCACGGCGCCCAGACCCACGTCCTCCCCCTCCCCGCATCCTCCTCCTCCCGGTCTGCCTCGGCCCGCGTCCTCCTCCTCCCCCTTCCCGCGTCCTCCTCCTCCTCCCGGTCCGCCCAGGCCCGCATCCTCCTCCTCCTCTTGGTCCGCCGACGCCGCCGGGGCCCCCGGCCGCCAACCTGGCCGCGAGCTCCTCCGGATCGACCGCCGCGTGGGGTGGGGCTCCTGGCGGCTGGGATCGGGAGGCGAGGGAGAGAGAGGAGAGCCCGTTCTCGCGTGCGTTTCTGATTTTTTTAACTTAAAAAGGACCATGGGTTGAATACCGTAAACTGTAGGGATTTATTTGCAAAATGGCTGAACAAAACGTTTTCTCACTTAAGAAAGGACTGCGGGTTGAATACTAAAAAACTCAGGGACTTTTCTGCGAGACTGCCGCGACGTACGACCGAAGCAATCGGTGATTTATTAGTAGGTAGAGATATGAAAAACCAGTGTCTCTTCGTTTGAGAAGGGCTCTTGTTTTTGTCAAAGAGAAGCTGATTCTGTGGGCTGTTTTTTATAATTTTATAACTAACAAAAAGGCTCGTGCATTGCAATTGATACAAAATTAATTTACCACTCAAATCACTTTTTGTAAGTAAGAATAATAACGGCAGCGAGCCGAGCGGCACACATGAGGAATGATGCAGGATCAGGGGAGGAAGATTCAAGGGATGGAAAAATCGCGAGGGGGTCAAAGCATTTTTTTCTTTCTATTTAAGGATGACATTGTGGGTAATTTTCTTTAACTGTAGAGGCAATTTCAAGCAATGAATATGAAATGAAGAAGCACCTCTTACTTTAAGAATAGAAGAATATTAGTGGAAATAATTACGTGATATGTTCATGTGCATGGTATTCAATTATCGGCCTGAAAATTGAATAGATCATTATGATGTAGCCACACATACAAATTGGAGCAGCCGTTGTTGTTAGGGCTAGATGGCCGCCTGCTGTCTCTTGCACGCGCTTCTGTTGAGCCTTCTCGCCGCTTGTTGAAGCACTGTGTTAAAATACGTTATCTAATCTTTTTCATCAGTTTGGACTTAAAAAAAAACTTGGCTAACACATCAGTTCAATATAGTATCAGAGCCACAAGGTCTCGGGGTCAAATCATGGTCAATGCACTATTTAATACTCCCTCCATCCTAAAACAAGTGACTCGACTTTGTATTAATTTTATACTAAAGTTAGTACAAACTTGAGTTAGTTATTTTGGGATGGAGGGAGTATAAAAATAGTTGCGATCTAATCCCGATCCCACGCCTAAGGTCTTTATGTACGTCCACAACCTAGACATGAGGAGGGGGGTGTTAAAATATGTTGCCTAGTCCTTTCCATCAATTCAGAATTTTGAGAAACTTGGCTAGCCCATCAGTTCAATACACTACCGCCAGCACAAAGATTCGATCAGGATTTTCCTTTTTCGTTTTTCAATCTCATTCGATCTCTTCCCTTTTCCAAGATTGCTCTTCTTTATCCAATTTCTTTCCATGATTTCACTATATAACTTGCCTTTATAGCCTTGTTCCGTCCATTAACTTGCCCTTCGTAGCCCTCATTTGATCCATTTTCTTTGAAGAAGTGATCCTTGTTTTGGCACGTGTTTTTTGTTCTTTCTCCGTTGTATTGACATAGATCTCCTTTTCCTTTAATTCCCTTCCTATCAATAGGTTGTTCATCGATTTTGGATTGTAGAGATGTAAAGGAGTGATGTACTACAACTTTATATATAAAAAAGGAATCCTACTTTCTACACGTGAGCATGATGTGGTTGAGTTGGTTGTTGCTTACGAAATTGGTTGGGGGATCAGGAGTTCCATCCCTGGAACTCTTGTACTTTTCCTGTTGAGGTGAAAAAATATCACTATGGCGTCGATGCCCCATAGCGGCACTGTGCCCCAAACACCTATAACAAAACAACGTGTAAGGCCCAAAAACCGCGCAAAAACAAATCATTACTTTTGGACGGAAGTAAACTTATAATATGGATGAATGAAGAAAAAACAGAAAAACACACCTTCTTTTATTATTAGGTATAGATACAGATTTGATTCTCATCGCAGTGTTTTTCTTCAAAAAGAATTATTCCCGGTTACCTCAAGGCAAAATTTGAGGAAACACCGTCAAAATACAAAGTAACTCCCCTCTCAAAAAAACACTAAATGAGATATTTACCGTAGAAAGTGGAAATCACGAAACATTAAATATTTTTATAAAAAATATTGTAACCAATTTTGATGTAGGGTAGAACCCTAATCGGCCGATCTTCCACGACAGGAGCGGATACCACGAAGAACACGAAGAACACGAGGAGGGAAACAAGGAAAAACATGGGGGAAACACGAGAGAAACACTAAACCAACAAGAAATAGTCACACATGTGCTAGATTCTCGAGTACATAAGAAATCACACGATCCACGGACAACTAAGGACGATACAAACGTAGCCGGTCTTCTCCGTGAGGAGGTCTTGAATCCACAAGGGGATCTTCCCGTAATGGGATCTTGAATCCAAAGGGATCTTCTCCGAAGAGGGGCCGCGGTCTCTCTCGTGGAGTGGATCCGATGTGGATGAGCAATGCTCTATCTCTAAATATGAGCTAAACCAATGCTAACTCTAAAACGTAGGTAGGAGAAGAGTATATATAGTCTAGGTGGGCGAAGGGGTACACGGGCCTCGACCCTTACACTGTGCGCAGACAGGGGAGGCCAGACGTCCGGGCGTCGGGCCGGATGTCCGGGCGTTCGGGGAGGGCCGGATGTCCGGGCTGGTGTGGCTGGCCTTGTCGCTCTCGGGTTCGGGGGTGTCCGGATTTCCGGGATGGAGGCCGGATATCCGGGAGCTCGGGAAGGGCCGGATGTCCGGGCTGGCGGGGCCGGATGTCCAGGGCCTGTAGGTGCTTGGTGGTTGAGCAGCTGTAGTGGACGACACTCCAGGGGCCGGATGTCCGGGGGCACAGTCGGATGTCCGGGGCCTGGGAGGTGTTCTTGTCTCCTTCCGTTGGTTCTCTTCATCTGTGGACTTGGGGACTTGTCCGTCTTCACGTGCATCTTCGGGAGGGTCCTCTTGGTACCTAATCATGCACAACATCTCGGACTTAGGTAGTAGCCATGTCTCGAGAGGATCATATGTAATATCACTAAGGAGAGAAGTCACCTCGGTCTCGAGAGCTCTAGCTCGTGCTCATGTCATGGGTCCTCTTGGCACTTCGTGAGACGATGGTAGGTCCATAGGGATGACCGTAGGATGCTCCGCATCATCTCCCCTCCCTTGGGGAAGATCCGACCTTGGATCGAAATCCTCATCACCACGATAGGGCGAGAGATCTTTGACATTGAATATGTCGATCACGGAGTACTTGTCGCGCGGGAGGTCGATCTTTTAGGCATTGTTGTTGTAGCGTTCAAGCACCTTGAAGGGTCCATTCGCTCGTGGTCGAAGTTTCGACTTGCGTTCATTGGGGAAGCGGTCCTTGCGAAGGTGTAGCCACACAAGATCTCCAATGTTGAATATCATAGGTTGCTTGTTGATGTTGCGCTTGGTTGCAAGACGTTGTACTTGGCGCTCGATGGTGTGCCTTGTATCTTCATGCACCTTTTTGAGATGGGTCACTGATGTCTACTACACAACCTTCTTCTTATAAACGTTGTTGGGCCTCCAAGTGCAGAGGTTTGTAGGACAGTAGCAAATTTCACTCAAGTGGATGACCTAAGGTTTATCAATCCGTGGGAGCCGTAGGATGAAGATGGTCTCTCTCAAACAACCCTGCAACCAAATAACAAAGAGTCTCTTGTGTCCCCAATAGACCCAATACAATGGTAAATTGTATAGGTGCACTAGTTCGGTAAAGAGATGGTGATACAAGTGCAATATGGATGGTAGATAAAGGAATTTGTAATCTGAAAATATAAAAACAGCAAGGTAACTAACGATAAAAGTGGGCACAAATGGTATTGCAATGCGTTGAAACAAGGCCTAGGGTTCATACTTTCACTAGTGCAAATTCCCTCAATAATAATAACATAATTGGATCATATAACTATCCCTCAACATGCAACAAAGAGTCACTCCAAAGTCACTAATAGCGGAGAACAAACAAAGAGATTATTGTAGGGTACGAAACCTCCTCAAAGTTATTATTTCTAATCGATCTATTCAAGAGTCTGTAGTAAAATAACACGAAGCTATTCTTTCCGTTCAATCTATCATAGAGTTCGTACTAGAATAACACCTTAAGACACAAATCAACCAAAACCCAAATGTCACCTAGATACTCCAATGTCACCTCAAGTATGCGTGGGTATGATTATACGATATGCATCACACAATCTCAGATTCATCTATTCAACCAACACAAAGAACTTCAAAGAGTGCCCCGAAGATTCTACCGGAGAGTCAAAACAAAAACATGCGCCAACCCTTATGCATAAGTTCACGAGGTCACGAAACTCGCAAGTTGATCACCAAAACATACATCAAGTGGATCACGTGATATCCCATTGTCACCACAGATAAGCACATGCAAGACATACATCAAGTGTTCTCAAATCCTTAAAGACTTAATCCGATAAGATAACTTCAAAGGGAAAACTCAATCCATTACAAGAGAGTAGAGGGGGAGAAACATCATAAGATCCAACTATAATAGCAAAGTTCGCGGTACATCAAGATCATGCCGACTCAAGAACACGAGAGAGAGAGAGAGAGAGATCAAACACATAGCTACTGGTACATACCCTCAGCCCCGAGGGAGAACTACTCCCTCCTTATCATGGAGAGCGCCGGGATGATGAAGATGGCCACCGGAGAGGGACTCTCCCCTCCGGCAGGGTGCCGGAACGGGTCTAGATTGGTTTTCGGTGG